TCCACTACAACCACCCACGCCATAGGCCTATAGCGACGATATTTTAGGCCTATGATGATCCTCTGTGACCACTGTGTTATAAAACTTCTGGGGTAAAAGATTAGCCATTGCGGTTCTTGAGTTGTCCGGTCTACCTGGGCTTTTCCTTGTTACTTTAGGTTTACAGAGATTAGTGTGTGTGTGTGTGTGAGTGTGTGTGTGTGTAGCTTCCGGTGGATGACAGGATGAGGACGACAATAACAGTAGCCAAAGACAGCACCGGTTCACGTCAACTCCCTTCTATGTCATCCACCTCTTCATAGACCACGTCCACCTGCCTCACCCACCCCCACACCACAAACACACGCGGGTGACCACAAACATCCCGACACGAGCGACCTCTACCACCAGTACAGAGAATCCCAGGGTTGACTCCCCCTCCTCCCCTCCAACACGTGTGCGTCAGGTAGGTAATGTTGTGTTGTGTTGTGTTGTGTTGTGTTGTGTTGTGTTGTGTTAAATAAAGTTAGTTTAGGTCAGATTAAGTTTGATTAGGTTAGTTTAGGTTATGAGTCACTAGATGCAGGGGTTGAGATGTGTGGAGGCTGAGAGAGAGAGAGAGAGAGAGAGAGAGAGAGAGAGAGAGAGAGATTAATAACGGTTAACAAATTTATTGACAAAGCTTGTAGTACAGTTTGCCTATTCTGAGTAATTCAGTCAGGTCTTGACACTGAGGGTGCTATTACTGTTCACTGCCACGCAGGACAGAGGTTCATATACAGTAGAGTAGAAGTCATATTCTATTTGAGGACTAATCAGTAAGGGCCAGCAGCAAATTTTGGATAAACAGCAAGAAAGTCCTCAAGCACTCCTGATTCAATGTAGTAATTACATAGTTCATAATACAATAAGTCAGGTGGCCTGAAGTCTTTGACAGTGTCACATTCAATAATATAGTGTTCAAGTGTATGCTTTAGAGGTTTATCGCAAAGTTTATATGCTGAGTGTTCCGGTATGGGTACAGCGTTACTAACTTGCCAGATGTGTCTGTATCCTAGCCTAATTCTGGCCACGACTACATCACATTGTCTGGTTCTGTGGGAGGAAAGGCCGGGAAGGGAGATGAAGAAGGGAATGAGGAAGGAAGAGGAGGGAGATGGATAGGTAGAGAGAGGAGTCAGGATGGAGGGAGAGAGGGAGGGAGGGATCCAGGGCCGGGACAGGTGACTGGGGATATCACTTGTCCGTCATTCAGAAAACGGGAGGCAGGAAGGTGAAATCAACAGCCTGCTTCCTCCCCAGCTGGTTGTACTACTCCTCCCCTACACCTCACACCCCCATTACCCCTCCACTACCCCTCACACCCCCATCACCCCTCCCTCCACTACCCCTCACACCCCCATCACCCCTCCCTCCCCTTCCCCTCACATCCCCATCACCCCTCCCCTACATGCACCTTACCCCACCCGAGTGCGACCCTCAACATACCGTATTGTGGATCATATTTCTAATGTTACAATGAGGTTAGGTTAGGTTTTGTTAAATTTGGTTACGTTAGGTTAGGGCTGCTGGGGTTCATATGTCCAGTCATCGTGGCTGCTGTAGGTCATAACTCAATCAAACATAAATGGATTCTGGTGAAACTTATTAGATATCGACGCAACCCAACGACCCTCTCAGACACGTTCCGTAATCACTCTTTTCACCACCAGACAGTGAGGTGAGGTAATGGAGCTGTGTCGTATGGGTGATGAAGAGGAAAACACACACACGACTCTCCCTTGTCAACTTGCTTCACTTCTGGCCACATCCCTGTACGCTTAGACACACAGGAGGTATCTCTCGTGTCTGTGGTGTGGAGTCGATGTTACTTCTTGGGTTTGAGAGATGTCTTAAGATTTGAACCTTTTTTGCGAGACACTGACACCCACCCGTACGACCTTCCCCACACGTCCTCCTTCCTCCTCTCCCCACCACGACTCCCCCCTCCTCCCCACCACGTCTCCCCACCTCCTCCCCACCACGCCCTCCTCCCTCCCCACCAACCCCCCTGACGTCTTATATTAATCATTTTAATAATAGATATAATCCGATTTCAACTGTCGGATTCAAAGGCGGATTTTATGTCGCAGCTTCAGGGACACACACACACACACACACACACACACACACACACACACACACACACAAAGGTATGTAAGTTCACTCGATTGTGGCTTTTATTAACTCCTGTTTTTATTTGTATAATTAAGTCTGTCTGTCTGTCTGTCTTTCTGTCTCATGCATTCAATCGCTCTCTTGTTCACTTTGTATGTATGTATGTATGTATGTATGTATGTATGTCACATAAACAGTGTCCTCCTGTATTTCCGGTTGACCTCTTCGTGTCCGTATTGCGTCCGTGTTCCTGTTCCTTCCCTTCCTTCCTTCCTTCCTCTCTTCCCTTTTATCTCCTTTCCTCTTTCTCTTTTGTTTCTCCTCCCTTCCATCTTCTCCCCCTCCCTCTCTCCCCTTTCTGTATCCTCTTTTCCTCCTCCTCTTTCCTTTCTCCTCCCTTCCTTCTCTTCTTCTCCTTCTATCTTATCCTTCTACCTAACCTACCCACTCTCTCCTCCCTCTCTCCCTTCTTTTCTTCTCAGCCTAATCTTCCCCCTCTCTCTCTATCTCTCTCTCCTATCACCTTTTCCCTCTTTCCCCCTCACTTCTCCCTTCCCTCCCTTTGATACTTCCTCTTCATCCTTCCTTTATTTCCCTTCTCTCCCTCCCCTACCTCCCCTCTCTCTAACTACCTCTGTTCCCCTCTTCCTTCCTTCTCCCCTCCCTCCTTCACTTCCCCTCTCTTCCTTCCTCTTTAGTACAGGCAGGAAGTCCCCCCCCCAACACACACTATTTAACTTTAGTTCACTGTTCATCCAAACACGCCCACATATGACTTCATTCACACACTCCCACACGCCCATATTCACGCACACTCGTACACCCTTATACGCCCACACTCACTCTTATGCACCCATTCACACCCGCTCACACTATAGTCTATACCAACTCACACTCAGCACACATTCTTACACACACACACACACCTTCACTCAACACCCATAGCAACGTTGGAGTCTCACGCCCACACACACACTGACAGCACGGCCGCCGCCCACACTACTCACACCCACACCACCACCGCCCACTACTGTCACACCCACACCACTACCGCCCACTGTCACACCCCACACACACACAGCCTCTAATCGGAAGTACATATACCGGTAAGTTCCGGTCCAAACACTGCCAGAGGTCCACTGATGCATCCACGCCGCCATCACCATCCACGCCGCCATCACCATCCACGCCGCCATTACCATCCACGCCGACATCACCATCCACGCCGCCATCACCATCCACGCCGCCATCACCATCCACGCCGCCATCACCATCCACGCCGCCATCACCATCCACGCCGCCATCACCATCCACGCCACCGCCGCCACTAACTTTACTATAAAAGTCACTATTTCCAACACAGCCGCGAACCATCACGCCCACGCTCACCCCCGACAACCATCACGCCCACGCTAATCCCTTAACACTCACGCTTACCCTAATATCTACATTACGCCCACGGTGAATCCCTACATCCGCCACGCCCACGCTAACCCTCACCACACCCACGTTGTACCTCGACATCCGGATGAATAACAGGCGTGGGTCAGTAGGCCATCTACGCCCACACGCCCACGCACGCACGCCCAGCTGATGATGTGTTGGGTGTTATCGGTCTGCCTCCGAGCACTATGAAGCCTCCTGGCACTGTGAAGCCTCCTGGCACTGTGAAGCCTGCACACACACACACACACAGGAAGAGTGACATGTTTTGTGTATGTGCGTGTTTCTCTACATTTTACAGTTCAGTACCTATTGTTGTCATATACACTAATATACAGCCACGCCCATCACAGTAAAACACACACACACACACACACACACACACACACACACACACACACACACAAAGCGTTCTTATTTATACAGTTCTAATTATATCTTTGTTTCCAATTAATACAGAAAACTTTATCTCAATGTAAACAAAAACTCTTTAATTTACTCTTAAGACTGATCCCGACAACTAGCGAACAGTTTGGACACATCTACTAGTAAAAGTTGGCCCCAGAGTCTATTAGGGATACAGCACACTGACTGCCAAACCTCTGTACACAAGGAAGCAACATGGCTGCCACTGTGCTCGACTACTTTGGTACTCATTCACAGTTGGGTTGACTGTGGGATCCACTTGGTCGCCTGAACCCAACGCCTTAAAAAAATAACACAAGAGGTTCATAATCACACCAGCTGATGAGCCACCTGGTCAAGATTAAAGGCTTTGGATAATTTGGCTCAGGTGGATGAAAAAACAAAACACCACACACACACACACACACACACACACACACACACACACACACACCTGATTACCTGCCAGTGATAAGGAAGTGAATATGATGGATTAGTGAGTTACTGAAGGGATGATCTGGACGAGCGGGGTCATACTCACTGGGCCGCCCTACGCCACCCATCACTCTACCATAACACACAGTAAAAACTAAGAGTCCCGCCCGCCCCCCCCCCCCCCCCTTCCCGCCGCCCCTCCTGCCTTCATTCATAAGTTCGACTTCCATGGGTGACATCGATGGTTCCCGAGCATGTGTGATGAACTGTCGGGAGGCAGAGGACCGGAATGTCTACAATGTTAAATATTTTCTCATTTTCCAATTTGTTTTTGTGTGTTTTTGGGTGTTTTTAATTTCAGAGATTCATCAGTGTTACAGTTTATCTATTTTGTATTATCACTATTATAAAAAAATCAATGCAGTTACAATTTATGTCTAGTTTTTTTTTTAATGGTAGTTAGTTTCCCATTAAAAGTTCCATAATTCCAATATGTATGGATGTGTATTTCTCTGTCCATAGACGCCATCATCCCCCCGCTCCTGCCAGCTGACTTACTTCCTGAGGGTTTGGGTGAGGCCGATGGTCGTGATTGTGTCGAGCCGTGAGCGCTCAGTCGCCAGGTTGTGTCGGGACAGGTGAGGTGCGCACTGCAAGTCCCCGGGACCCACCACCACGCAGGCCAGGCACGCGCGCCCTCCCTCACCACGTGCACGACCCTCCACGCCACACCTCCTCCTCCTCCTCCTACTACCTCATAACGAGTCGTCCTCACAAGAAGTCAGACTCACAACAAGTCGATCTTGGTAAAAGTGCCCACAGCAAGTGAATATAAAAACAGTTTTTTTAAGCAAATCAGGTGGACTTCGTGTCACTGGGTTGGTGTTGACGTCGATTCCTCGCAAAGTGAAGATATTCTCAGGTGGACGTAACGACACAGAAACCCTCTAGTCTGCAACTAGTCATTAAGAGAAGACGGTCAGGTGTTTGCCAGTGAAGAACACCTGAACCAGGAAGGAGTTTGCTTGTGTTGTGTGATCGGTGTCGTAAAGTGGCGAGCAACATACACACCTCCACGCAGCTCATCATTATAAACAGATGTAAGTAAACATAATCCTTTTATTTAATACCGTACAAAAGAAAGTTATTGTAATGTTACACTGTGGTCCGTTATCCCTCACCCAAGTCCGGTATTAACGTACTTAACTAAAACATAAATAAACAACAGCCTTAAATAACAAGAAAAATATAACAACAACATTAAGTTATCTCGACTTTTAAAGGTCGGTAATTCTTTATTATTATTATTATTATTATTATTATTATTATTATTATTATTATTATTATTATTATTATTATTATTATTATTATTATTATTATTGGAACACGCTAAGTAATTTCACTTGCCTGACTCATTGAGAAAATAAAATATATATTTTTTCATATGTAATTAAACATATTTTGTTACTGTTTCATATTATACAAATGTGTGTGTGTGTGTGTGTGTGTGTGTGTGTGTGTGTGTGTGTGTGTGTGTGTGAAGGACTGGGCGTGTAATGTGTGTATAACAATATAACATGCATCGCGTCGACATACATGTGTAGTTCACCCGATTTCCTGTAATTTGGACAAAACCCCAAATAAAGAGGAATGTGTTTATACTTTACCAACATCGCTTCGTTACTCTTCTTCGTGTTGGAATGGAAAGTTTGAACCTTTCTCTTTTAAGACGCTAACAAACTCTGTAATGGTCCGGTGACATTCTACTGTTATGGCATGATATTTTTTCCTGTATTTTAAACGCTTATTTTAAATCATGCCGCTGGTAGTCATAGGTATAGGATTCTCCACCATACAAGATCACGCTGACCAACGCTGACCCACACCGACCCACGCGGCGCCGACCTACACCGACCCACGCCGACCCACACCGACCCACACTTCGGCCTGGGCTTCACTTGGCGTTCTCTGAAGCTGTGAACACATACTAGGACATCTATAAGCCCGGTCGTGTTAAGAGTATACTGACACAACCAACAAGAGGATCCCGCCTTAGTTAGTGCATTCGTCCCCTAACGTTACTTTAATGGTGGATTAACAGGGATGGGACGTGGCGTTTATACTTCCACTGTCTGCCTAAACGAACACAGAAGACTCTTAACTTGTACTGAGTAGCAGAACATAGTAACAGCAGACCGCACGGAACATAGTTATCAGTGGCGGGCCTGGCAATGGTTGTTCGAGGCGTCACTCACGGCGAGGGCGATCAAGATGTTGTCTGGAACAGCGAAAAGGCGAACAGAGAAGACAGTAATATTCACTCTATAAGCAGACTGGCTTATGGAGCTCACCTGTGTTATGGTGGCATCACTGTCGTACATATCTGTAACTTAACCTAACCTAACCTAACCTAACCTAACCTCCTAGCGCTCCTCCACGACTCCCCAGTTGGTTGTTGAAGCACCTTTACGAAGTCGGGGTCAGCGGTCTACAGGAACTGGCTGGAGAAGATAAACGGGACCATCTGGTTTGACGCAAAAAACCTAGATCACAATATCAAATGATTATATCGTTAAATCCTTGAAGGGGGAACCTGCCAAGGATTACATTAATTTCCAGAATATACTATACTTTGAACACTGACGTGGACCCCAGCTGAAGCGTAAATGACAATGGTGACGCCACTGGTTCAGCCATGTTAGCATTGTTCTTATTGTCCACTCTGTATCTGAAATTTTTTCTGACTAGATAAACTGTTTCAATATTAGCATCTGTACAGGCCCCTCTGTTGTATGCGGACCCACGGAAGAGGTGTGTGTGTGTGTGTGTGTGTGTGTGTGTATGGTCATCACCCTACAGGTACCTAGGGACTCTTGCCCCTCACAAGACCCCCGTCAAGTGGAAACTCACAAACGCGTCACTCAGGAGTTTCAATCACGAGAGTGTAAATTTGGTAGTCGAGTTAATTCTTGTTTTATTACTCTATTTTATTATTCCTCATGAGTACAACTTCATCTACACTATGATTATGGTTGAGACTATGACAATGACAGTAACTATGATGATGACAATGACAGTAACTATGATGATGACAATGACAGTAACTATGATGATGACAATGACAGTAACTATGATGATGACAATGACAGTAACTATGATGATGACAATGACAGTAACTATGATGATGAAAATGACAATAACTATGATGATGACAATGACGACTTAAGGCTCCTGGGTTTAAAATATAACTTAAAGAAAGATCGCGTCCGTAGAACATGGATGCCCTGCCTGGTGTATAGACGACTGACAGCATGAACTGATAATATAAATACAGTACCTTAATTTTATGGTTAATTGGTAGTTTTTGCTGTAAATTTGTAGCCTTGACCACTTACCTGTGATATGTGCACCTAGGAGCCACTTACCTGTAATATGTGCACCTAGGAGCCACTTACCTGTAATATGTGCACCTAGGAGCCACTTACCTGTAATATGTGCACCTAGGAGCCACTTACCTGTGATATGTGCGCCTAGAAGCCACTTACCTATAATATGTGCACCTAGGAGCCACTTACCTGTAATATGTGCACCTAGGAGCCACTTACCTGAAAAAAATATGAAAAAAAATGTTAATTAAAACCCTGAAATATAATCCCTCGTAACTCATAATTTCACAAAAATTAAGAAAAACATCGATTAAGATTTCATCATATTTACGTGTGGCTCCCAGAGGTCTTTTTATCGAGAGAGCTTCTGACGTTCTCACCACCATTAAATTTCTTCATTGTTCACTAAATTTACGAACATTTTGTGACGTTCTTCAAACTTTTTAAGATTATTATTATTTTTTTTTAATTTGATGCAGTTTAATTTTATTTATCCTATTTAGTGTTGATTTACGATCAATTTTTGTATACGTATATTTGAGCGAATTCGAGCGTGTTTATGTTCGCTCATGTATACGTGTACAGTATGTTAGTGTGCGAGTGTGCGTGTCCGTATACGTGGGTACATGTATGTGAGTGCACTGTGTGTGTGTGTGTTTAGATATTCTGTACAGTCACACACAAGTCGGCCAGCAGTATAGGCAGGAGCGACCTACCCCTCTCACCTCCTGCTGTCCTGTACACTTCCACACATATGACCGTCACACCAACACCTCCCTCTCACCTCACATCACACACACACATGACCGTTACACCAACACCTCCCTCTCACCTCACATCACACACACACATGGCCGTCACACCAACACCTCCCTCTGACCTCACATCACACACACACACATGACTGTCACACCAACACCTCCCTCTCACCTCACATCACACACACATCTCAACACTCGTGAGAGAAAGTGGGAGTCACAACATTTATGATAAAATATTTTTCTTACTTCTATTACCCGTGATATTTTACTGTCAATAGTTTGGTCGATTGCTTTTATGAATCAGTGTCCAAAAATACATATATTTCTTTGTCACGTCGATACCGAGGCATTCTGTATTATGTAACCACTATTTTTGCCTTTTTGAATTTTTATTACTAAGACTGTATTAAAAGCTGCCAGAAGCGACACATTCCTGTAAAGGCTGCTGTATCATGTAACGGTTGCTGTATCAGATAATGAATTTTTGTATCACTGTGGCTATCGCTGTATGGAGTTATTTATAAGACTTTATAATCGTTGTGACTATTGTTCTTTATTTGACTATCGCCGTATTTCTCTGGTTCTTGTTTTATCGGTGTGTCGAGGTAATAATATTTTTCTATTTGTGTCTCTTTCAATTATTCTCTATCTATCGCTTTCTTTTATTCTCTCTATTGATATCTTTCCTTCTCTCCGAATCTATCTCGATTCTTACTCACTTCCTCTCTCTGTTTCCACTTATCACTCATATTTAGTGTACTTGTCTGTCTGTCTGTCTGTCTGTCCGTCTGTCTGTCCGTCCGTCTGTCTGTCTGTCTGTCGTCTGTCTCTTTCTCTGCAGCAAGAAGCATTTCGGAGTGGTCCAAGGCGGAAATGTTACCTTGTTTTGTTTACCTCTTACACTTTCCATCTGACGGAGCGTTCAACGTTGCTTCCCGACAACTAGAGCAGAATTCATTGTTGCTTAAAAAAATAAATAAAAAAAGGAAAGTCTCTCTCTCTCTCTCTCTCTGAATCTACTTATAAATGTTGTTTAGTCTAAAAAAAAGTCAAAGGAAAAAGTTTTGAAGAGTTTTGAATAAACAGAAGCCATTAAAAAAAAAACCCTGAAATGTCAACTGCGGGGAAAGAGTGCTTGTTGAAACAGATTCTACACCGTGATATTTACCCAGACAATACACTGGAGGTAATTCACATGAGAGACCTTAACAGTGGGTATTAAAACTCCTCTAATGGTCTTAATGTTAGGACTGATTGAGCATTCATCCTGATCGTCAGTACAATCTCCGGTAGAATGACAACCCCCCACCAAAAAAAAAAAATGATTTATGAACATTTTTTTGGCGGGTTTTCTCTTGATGTAGCCAAGCGAGATGGAGGGAGGGGGAAAAACTCGCCAACAGTCCTGACGCCAGAGTTGCTTATTGCGGTGGTGGTATTTGTCGCCCAGGCGTCCGTGCGTGACACAGCTACTTACGGGCGATCACAGAACCCACCAGGACCCACCCCACATATGATCAGAAGCCACACACACACACACACACACACACACACACACACACACACACACACACACACACACACATTGTTCTATAAGCCCAGTACAAAAATCTATTTATATATCGCTATATGATTTCTATATGTTATGACTATCTATAATCTACTCTGTCCTGAGTCTTTTGCTTGTGTGTGTCAGTTTATATATTTCGTTTTTTTGTGAGGTGGATAAAGATATCTCAAGAAAGAGTGAGGGAGGAAGGGGGGAGGAAGGAGGAAGGGGGAGGAGGGGGAGAGTCCACAGAATGTAACTGTTATTACAAAAAACATATTCCAGCGATCTGTCACACACACACCAACACACGTCCTCTCTCTCTCTCGGCTGTGTGTCACCCACTTGATCACCTGAGCAGACACCACGTGCAGCAGCCAATACAGACGTGATAGGACCTGCCTGGGGGAGGGAGGGAGGGAGAGGTTGAAGGATAGATAATAAGGGTGTTGTGAAGGAGAGAGAGTAAGAGTGCTGAAAGAAGGGGGTAGATAAGGAGGGTCAGGGGGAGGAGAAGATAAAGGTGAAGAAAGATGTCGAACGGATGGAGAGAAGTAAAGGGTTAAAGGACACTGCCCGAGTGTTGGGTATTTTAGGCAGGTTAAGTTTTCGGAAAAAAATGGGGGGATGATTTGGGTAATTTTAAGGATAGTGGGGTGAATGTAGAGAAAAGTCCTAAATCCGTGTTAAGAGCTTTGAGACGTCATGTTGTCCTGGTACACTGAGGGGCAGGGCCTGAGGTGTGGAGGTGGTGGCTGGGTTGTCCGTCAGGTTAGAGGAGACGATCCATGTTTCTTGAGTCCCTGCAGTAAGCCCTTTTGGCGCCTCGCGGGGTGACATTTGCCGTCCGGGTCGCTGTGATTATTGTTATAGTTCAGTGGACCGCAAAGCTATTGTTGCCCTGCGCGAACCTTTGCAAAGTAGAAAGTTATTTCCAGCTTTACGCTAAAGTTAGGAGGAAATCTGTGTCCCTGCACCAGGGAACAATACCTCGCTGGGTGGAGAGTTTCACCTGCCGGGGATTAAGAGTGACCGGGTGAGCACCGTCGCCTCGGGGACATGATCGTCGTTGCTTGCAGCTCTTGAGTCCAGCGCGAGATCATGTCAGTGTTGCACTCGCTGATTGTGTCAAGAATTTCGATTTATCTTCCGTAAACAAGATACCGAATACAGATTTATTACCTATGACAGAAAATGTTTATTTACTGCATTCGTGTTTTATATATCCGTACTTATTGTCTCGTGGGGATTGGGGTGTGTAGTGGCGCAGCACTGGTGCGAGGGGTCAGTGAAGTACGACAGGTGAGGCGTGTGCATTACTAGTGGTCCCGGGGAGTGCCAAGCGACTCCTTCTGTTGGACTTTGTATAAGGTACACGTCACATCTGGCTGACTCACCCCGCTCGACCCTTGACCTGTCCATACCTGACCCGTTGACGTTCGCCTTTCCCCTCCCGTTCCCGCCTCCTCCTCCCACGTTTCAGAGGTCGTAAGTATGCACGAGTACACACCACACCCAGTCGCACTCTCCACCACACCGATGCCCTGCGGCAACACACGCCAACCAAGTGTTAGTCAACGTCGCGACCTACTGCCGGAGGGACGTCCCAGCGAGACGGGTCACAAGTGTCGTTTTCTCTTGTGTTGTGGTAGTGTTACAGGTGTGGGGACTTAACCTGCTTTCGCTGCTGGACTTTAAGACTTCTCCACAACACACACAACTTTGATAACTAAAGGAAAATTACTTGAATAGTGAAAGTGTCGGGTGACCACAATTAACCTTAACCTAAACTTCCGTAGCCAAGAACTGTTACTCTGCAGGTATCTATGTCAGGTATTACCCCCCAGAAATTTGGAAAAATCAATTTTTAAATGCTGAGAGAAACTGGGAAAGGCGTAAAGAAAATTATAGTTCAGTGGTAGAACATCAGGGTCTTGTAGGAATATTTAATGAAATGTGCTTGTGTTTTTGGAATGTCTAAATGAAACAAATATTTTTGGACGGGAGAGTAACGAGTCCATTCTCTTTTCTTTCGCAGAAGCCGTAGTAACACTTGGATACATCACAGTTCACTCCCATCTACTGCCACGCCGGCGTCTCCTTCAGTATCAGTCTACACAATTTCGTCAAGTCACACGTCGACGCGCTGGTTCAGTATGCAGTCAACGCCAGCAGGAGGCTTCAACGTGTACCCTCGGGCACCTCTGTCTGTGGTACCGCCGTCACTCCTGACCTACCAGATGTTGGCGTCGCATCCTCCTAGAGAACCAGCACCCCAGTACCCGCTCCTGCACTCCTCTCTCTTCCTTCCCATACACCACAATCGGAGCCCTGTTTACTCCCCTCACTCCCCGAAGGCAGGGGAAGATGGGAGTAAGTCACACCTGGCGTTTTATACCCCACCAAGGTTGGAGGCTGAGACACTTGGCTCAATTAAGAATTCTCCAGCTTCGTCGCCCCAGTTGGACTCACCGCCACCAACACATGCCTCTCTCACCGTCACCGCCATCATAGACACTGAGGATGGGCGCTCCCAAGCTCATTTTGAGAAAAATGAAGTAGTCAGAGATCCAGTGCACGAAAACAACGACAAAAAAGACTTGCCACTTGACCTGACTATGAAGAGGAGGTCAGAGAGTGGCGGCAGAACCGTCACGACCAGCGAGGTCACGAAGGAGGACGAGAGGGCCCATCTAGACGACAAGGGAAGTTTTTCAGAAAAACCTGAACACACTAAGTTTGATGATGTAATAAAACCTCGTCCCCGTCAGGATCACCCGTTTCTCAGGATAAGCGACTTGCTCAAAGACTCTCCCTCGAGTAGTCCGGTGCCAAACCCGCCTTACCCGCCTGCTGAGCCACCAGCCAAGTTACCTCTGGTGTACCCTCGACCCCTACACCCCGCCGCCATACTGGACATGTACCGTAGCCTAGATCGGTCCGCTTTTATGGCCGGGAGCTGCCTCCCCTCAGCCAGGTATCCCCTCTTCACCTCCCTCTTCCCCCACGCCAGCCTCCCCTCCGTCAGCATGGCTCCAGCACGCACAGTTGGACTGGATTTCTTCAAGAGTCATATGCCTGGAGCGTCTCGTCCTTATGGTGACCTCGTTCGTCCATACAGTGACCTACTGACGCCGCACGTGGCTCGCACTGCTAAGGATCGATATACATGTAAGTTCTGCGGCAAAGTGTTCCCACGCTCGGCCAATCTGACCCGCCACCTGCGGACTCACACCGGGGAGCAGCCCTACAAGTGTAAGTACTGCGAGCGTTCCTTCAGCATCTCGTCCAACCTGCAGCGTCACGTCCGCAACATCCACAACAAGGAGAAGCCCTTCAAGTGTCCGCTGTGTGACCGCTGCTTCGGCCAGCAGACCAACCTTGACCGACACCTCAAGAAACACGAAGAAGAAGGACCCAACCCACCGGACTCCCCCGAGGCCCCAGACTCCAGCAGCGTCGCCGTCACTATCGAGAAAGTTGACGATACTGAGATGGATGTGAGCAGAGTGGAGGGTGACAGTGAGGGTGAGGTGACGGTGGACATAACCAGAGTAGCGACGTCTCACTCCCTCGACGGCTGTGACAGTGAAGCGAGTGTCACAGACGCCCACCACCACTCCACCCACCCAGCGGGCGCGGATGAACCAGCCAAGAAACGCGTTAGATTAGAATAGCACCAAATTTAATAGCACATTATACTATTAGTGTTAATTATACTATGAGACGCCATGTTGTAATATGTGTATTAAAAAATTCTCTGCAAATTCCTTTATACAGTGAGGTCAATACAATCAACTCGCTATCCACTTTAACAATAAAAAAAGTGAAATAAACTTAAGGATTGTTACGGGGATGTGTCCTCACTACCAAAAGTTGCCAATGGAAGACAACAAGAGACGAGTCCAACGTTGTATTCTAGTCAAGTTGTGTACCACACCAAAGATATCCTCGCTTCACATACTCAAGATGAAGTCATTATCCTCGATGCGGGTCAGTCACTCACCTGTGTACGCCAACAACACCTGACCCAGTGAGCAGACGCCTTCCTGTGGGTGTCGAGTTTTACAGTGTAGTTGTTTTGTTTTTTAGGTCATCTCAACGAGCCTAGAGAAGAGTGTACAGTACAGTGAGGGTCGTAGTGCTGCTTTCCCTCCTCTGTCTGACGAAGATGAAGTACAGTGCGCTGATACAGTCGAACAGATTATAATTATTGACTGTAAAAAATGATACAGTCTAACAAGGGGCCATAATACATTTTAATATGTGGTCATGACAACAGTCTAACAGGGGTTCACAACACACACACACACACACACACACACACACACACACATGTAAACAAACCCACTTGAAGATTTGTTATGTCTCACTTTCATGAAACCTGAAAATACATATTAATTGTATATATTATTTTTTAGTACTGATGAAATAAAATAAAATATAAATTAAGCTTAGTTTCAATTTCCTTTTTGAAGACTTAAATTTGTTCTTGAATATAAAGGACAAATTATTTCAATGTTGTGCAATAATAAAAAAATGGATAATTAATTTTTGTGTTTACCCAATTTTGTGAGAAAAACATTTATCAAGTATTTTACTTATTTAATTAGCCATGAAAGTAAACTACTGTCATCAAGTCAATCAAATAAATAAAACAAGCTACTTTAATGGGCTACTTTTCCTTGAATGGACATACTGTATGGCATTGTTTGCATATACTGAACCAGTGTGAACGTTTATGAGGATTTTAGTGAATATCTCTGTCTCTGTCTGCTATAGTTACGAGTGTCATTCTGCTTCCAAGAGTGTAGAAACTGAGACTGACACAAGGCCACTTAACGCAAAGGGGATCACTAGCCAAACAGTTTAATAATCACTTTAATATGAGTCAAGTTATAGTCATGATTATTAATTTTCTTCTGTTCGTTATAAATATCTTACAATTACAGTATTTATAAATGAATAAAAGTAAAGGAGGATCCGGTTCTATATATATCTATTTCTAATATCAAGAGTGTATCAAGATTTACCTCTGCCATTAAAATGTAATATTGTTAACAGGTAGTATAATTCATAAACTATGTTACAAAAATGCAACTGAAAAATAGGCATTTCTATAACTTTGTGAGCACCTACAGTAGGTCTCAGAGCGGAGGTATTTTAAGTGTGTTTCCCATAAAACCGTTTTCTGTGTTTTCTCATTCGGATGGGATACTAAAAACCTCACAATTATATTTTATAGTTTACAATTACATAATATTTTCTTGTAATATTAAAAAAAATTAAAAACAAAATTAATATAACAATAAAATGTAGTCTTAGCTTATAAATAAACTCTCTATATTTTATAACGTCAACTCTGAATGCATTGTTTATACCTCGTCAGCTGTGTTGTGTTGTGGTCAAGAGCTCCTGCACAAGACCTCTTCATTCCTGTGAAGCTTGTTAAACATACAAGCTATGTCGTCATTTTTAAATTATCTGGCCTCTACAAAGAGAACCTTGGTAAGTAGTTATAACACATTTGGTGCTACAGTATATAGAATCAGAGGTGTGACTAAACATCCTCACTACAAATGCTTTTTATTACAAAGTGTTCCATCTAGAATAAGGTTCAGGATCACGACAAATGCCTGTGTTTTTCTTTAATGCATGGGTCGTGACGTGGGTCTCACATACTATGCAGTGAATAACAAATTAAGCTTAAGTAGCCTCTATGTATACTGGTTAGACTGGTGTAGCTAGGGTTGTTAATACTTGGCGAAGAGTGATTAGTATCTTGGCCCTTACTATTACCCGCTACTTTGAACCTAAACCAACTTGCTATTTGGGAATCATCTGTTAATAACTGGGTGTGTTATCTCGGGCAATATTTTTCTTAGTTACACATGTGATAAGAAGTTCCCCAATCAGTCATCTCCCAAGACGAGTGATTACAGAGTGTGGTTCCTTTACTATTTATTAATTTAATGTTTAATACAAATATAAGGGAAGTTTTGTGGTGCTTCAAAAGATAAAACAACTTGATGCTTCAATAATTATATACATTAGTGTTAAAGGAACATAATATTTCAACACATAGGTCTGAATACAATTAGTATTAGTAATATTTGTAATATTTTCAAACTTACAAACATAAACTGTGTACCGTAATTAAAAGACGGGTGAGCCTTGCAGTTTGTGACGAAAAAAAAAATTCTGCTGTTTGCTTGTTGGCTATACATTAGCATTACCAAATCAGAATTACAGTTTAAAGGCAAACGAGTAAAAGCAAACAGTAATATAGGTGGACGTATCAATATTTTTAGTATGTTAGCTCATGAGAGAGAGAGAGAGAGAGAGAGAGAGAGAGAGAGAGAGAGAGAGAGAGATATTATTCGGACGAGGTCTCAGGAATAAAAATAGTTTACATAAACAGATGTATTATAAAGGTTGGTGCCCTTGCCTCACTCCTACCATAATGAGTCCCAATCCTTATGATTAGGTTAGGTTAGCCATTTAACCTTGAGGCAATACAAACAAACGTAAAGAATATATAAGAAACTACTGTATTCCTTATTTACATTGAAAACGTGACTTCCATTACGTTCGGTATTAAGTTGATGTGTCGCTATACCTGAGCCATTGTCCTCACTACACAATGCCTCGCTCACACGGTGTCTTTGGAAGTGATAATGAAGTGGGAAGATATCGCGTTTGTTTGATAATGTGTGCTAAGAGATATGTTAAAGCTTGATGGTGGTGGTGTTGAGAGGTGCAGGTCAGTCATCCAGGGTGATTTGACGTCTTGTGATCAAAACCATACATGACTGGTTGTGAGGTAGAGGTGTGGTGGTGGTGAACTCCTTATGTACACACAGATGTTACCTCACGCTGGCTAGTTGTAATTAACAGACGCCAAGGTCATAGATGTGTGCATATATTGGAGATGAACTGGAATATAACTAGTTATTATGTTAAGAGTGACGATAAACTAAAGTAACATAGAATATTATAGAAAAAAAAAGTACTGAATAATATTTTGTGGACGTGTAAAAAAGAACTACCTATCATATTTTGAGCTTTTATTAAATTGATGAGATAAATAGGAGAAAAATCTATTCTTGATGATTAATTATGTCAGTGTGGTGTGTTACCTGAGACAGTAGTGTAGATGGATAAAGGAAGACACAGATAAGACTAAATAAACACATAGGTAAGGAACTCGACGGATAAATGTATATCACAGACGTATCTCTCTAACCTAACCTAACCTGGCGAGGTGAGGTAAAGAGAGGCGAGGTGAGGAGAGAAGAGGCGAGGTGAGGAGAGAAGAAGCGGTAGTGTTTAAAATTACAGTACGTATTGTTCTTGCACTAGGCTAGAGTATTAAATAAACACACAAATAAGGAAGTAACAGAAAACGACTCATTATGGAGGGTATACGCTTCTATAATAATAATAATAATAATAATAAAATGAACGTATGGTTATTAATCGATCCATATGTGTGTGTGTGTGTGTGTGTGTGTGTGTGTACATTACTCATCTATTCTTGCACACAAACAGTATATTAATGATTCTAAAAATGCTTACGTTTATGAAAGTCACGTCACCAAAAAACATTAAAAATTCGTTGTTATATATCTAGCCAGTGCCATCCTGTACAGTCTTTCATTCTGTTTACTACTACTACTACTAATACTAATAATAATAATATTAATAATGTGGTAAAGATAAGCTAAGTAAGACTAACGAAGTGTAAGAGGAAAAAAACGAAGTAAATAAAAAATAAACAATATTTCGAATTCTCACGGAGATGTAATGATTGAGGAACGATTTCGGTTTTCCTTCCTCGTAAAAGCAATAGATTTCTCTCGAGGTCCATCATTCGTTGACTGATTACGACGTCGCTAACTCACTGACCAATGAGAGAATCAAGTAAGATATTTCTCTAATGGCTTCCTTCATTCGTTGACTGATTATGGCGTCACTAATTCTTCGGCCAATGAGTGTGAGTCAAGCTAAACTGTTGACATTTTGGCGGGCAAGTAAACAGAAAATCCGCGAATACACTAAATTTGATCAAATATTTTTTCCAAGTTGCTCAGAAGCGAAGAGGATTTTTACATTGATAGGATGTCCAGCTATTTCGACGTATTCAAATGTTTAAATGTACGGGACAGAATTTCTTTTGGTGGTGAACTAAATTATTCCGTTATTGGTGTTAATACTATTTACATAAAAAAAACTTAAACAAAATTCATGTCAAAAGATACCAAAGCTCGTGAAATGATTTTTTTTGGTTGGTATTTATGAAAACGAAATTCTGATTGAATGTTAAAAGGGAATGTTGAAATTGCAGTAAAGATATGAAACAATTTTGTAGTGGTACCGGCATTACTTCTGGCCAGTTTATTATTATTATTATTATTATTATTATTATTATTATTATTATTATTATTATTATTAGTATTAGTATTAGTATTATTATTATTGCCAAGTAAGATGATGATAACCTATTAAGAAGTTGACCTGGCGACCTTAAGAGAGGATGACCTGATGATGACCTATGACCTCGTCCACACAGGCGTCACAAAGGCATATGGGACTTCACGTGGTCTTAAGCAACGAGGCATGTGACCTGGACTCTGCCGTCAGCGCTACCGTCTACGCCTTCCTCCTAAATTCACTCCAGCAGGTGGGTGGTGCAGGTGTTAGGTGATGCAGGTGTTAGGTGGTGCAGGTGTTAGGTGATGCAGGTGTTAGGTGATGCAGGTGTTGGGTGATGCAGGTGTTGGGTGGTGCAGATGTTGGGTGGTGGAGATACAACCTTGTTATATAAGTGTACAGTATTTATAAAATGAACTTCGTGATAAATTGTGTACTAACGTCGTCCATGAGTACTTTGTATGTGTACTGTACATCAGAAAGCATATGTGATCCCGATGCCGATGAGTGTGATACCTGTCCTCAACATAGCCAGGGAGGAGTACTCACTAAAGACGGAGGTGGTCTACTGGCTGGGGAAGTACGAGATTCACCCAGACATCCTCATCTTCAGGTAGGTCCTATAATACTGACTCAACACTTGAAAGATGTCCATCACACTTGTATGTTTATACTTTATCCACGTCACACTGTATGTCATCATTTCATCCACCTCATACTATGTTATCACTTCATCCACCCCACACTGTGTTAACACCTCATCTACCCCACACTGTGTTAACATTTCATCCACCCCACACTGTGTTAACATTTCATCCACACCACACTGTGTTAACACCTCATCCACCCCACACTGTTTTAACACCTCATCCACCCCACACTGTGTTAACACCTCATCCACGCCACACTGTGTTAACACCTCATCCACCCCACACTGTGTTAACATTTCATCCACACCACACTGTATATAACCCAAGGTAATCTTATTAACCTTAATTATATCACAAGTAAGTATGGAAATTTTCGTAAATAAAGTTAAATATCTTGAGGATTTGCTTTTCACTAGTCCCTACCCCCCCCCCCACCTCTCTCCTCACCTCTCCAGGAATGAGATAGATCTAACTAAGCAACACGAGATAGGACTCAAGCTAACCCTGGTTGACCATCACGTGCTGCCTCCCTTAGATGCTCACCTTGACCCGGATATCGTCTTCATTATTGACCACCGCAAGCTGGAACGTACGGCTGTTTCTGGTGAGTCATTGATGGGGTAAGTGACTCGTTGATGGGGTGAGTCATTGATGGGTTTGATTCACTTATAAGAGGTAAACATATCACTATTAGCAATTATGAATCAATTTTGTTTTTAGAATTTTTTGTTATATTAAACTTATCATTTACCTTTTTTTAATCTTCACTACTAATATATATTGTCTTGTTCCTCTTCCTCCCGTGCGGGCTATATCAGTGTCAGGCGGGATGGTGGTAGAGCCGGTAGGGTCCTGCTGTACACTGGTAACCGAACAGATCCTAGATAAGGATTCCAGCGTATTGAAGGATAACACCATAGCCAGTCTACTCTACGGTGAGTTCTCCTTCTGTTCCGAACCTTGAGATTAGTTTAGGGAGATGTCGGCGGACTGTTTTCATTGGGCAAGGAGTCTGGCTTATTGTTTATGATGAGTCTGGTGTGTGTGTGTGTGTGTGTGTGTGTTGAAGCCAGGCATTGCTCTTCGTCTTCGCCTCCTCCTTATTACATAATTCGAAGTCTGGGTTTTCCTTATGGTGAGACTGTGGCTTGCAGTGCCTTTCCGATTCTTGCCTTCTCAACAGCCATTGTGTATCCCACGTTCCTCAGTGGTGCGTGCAAGTGTACAAACCCTTCCCGTAAGACAAGCCTCTGGGGAGTGTTTGAGGTGAACGAGCCGCTCCAGTATTTATTCTCACCAGGCACAAGGAGGGTGATCATTTTTTGGTCTTTGATCATAAATTAGCTGTTGTAGTCATTAATTAAACTAAAGATTGATATCATTAATGTTCGTCTTTAGTATACTTCATCTCACAGGGACGATCGTCTTGGATACTGTCAACTTCAACGAGGCGGCCAAGAAGATGACGCCCAAGGATGTGCGTATGTACAACACTCTGTGCTTTTCTCTGACAACTCTACTCAGCAAGTGAGTTATAGTCGTCGTTTTCTCTTTGTGTGTTGTAGAAAATGGATCACCTGAAGAGTATTCCCCCTCCAGCTTATTTCACCTTATGATTAACCACCCTAATGCTAACCTAAACTAACCTAACTAAACCCACCCCCCTCAGGTAACGTTATGATGTTTAATGATCAGGTGTAATAAGCTTGGGGTGCTAATCTTCTGGTAATTTTTTTTGAGCGTCCAAGATATGTAGAGCACTCAGCCATCTAGACACTAATACCCTCTTAACACACAGTCGTCATCAGTAACAGAGCCTTACTCCTCTACTGTAAGGAAGGTTTCTTGTGTCTCTCTGTCACTGTCTTGAGAATCTGAATTTTGACTTCCTGGAAATTTATTAATATATTCCCACAGTCTTTCACTCAGCCGTAAAATCAAATATACCTTTTTATGTTTTGTTCATGCGTCACCACCATCGATTAGTTAATTTCTGAGAATCTTGAATCCTATTTCTTGGCCCAAAAATATTGGTAATTGAGGTGTGTTCCTGGTGTGTGGCAGAGATCGGGTGTTCCAAGATCTGGTGGAGGCTAAGACGAACGTATCTGGCCTCACCTCCGAGCAGCTACTGAGGAAGGACGTCAAGGTGGTCTCTTCTGAGGACTTCAGAATCGGGATTGCTTCCGTCCCCATGATGGTCAAGGTGGGTGCTGGGTGGTACAGTAGCTGCTGATGTTGAAGGATGGATGGATCTGAATACTGAGAGACACTTTTGGTGATGCTGAATACTTGAGTGCTGGGAGACTGTATGTTGCTTTGAATACTGGTAGATGTGAAATTCTTGGCGTTTGTGATTACTAAACATAAAAACAACCCTCTATTACATTTGTGTTTTATCAACAACAACAAAAACATGCAAATTTACGCAGAAATATCACCCTGCATTGCAATATTCCTTCTACAGGACTATCTGCAGCGAAAGGACGTGGGTAGGGACCTCTCAAAGCACTGCTGCAGGCAAGATTACCAAATCCTGGTCATCCTGGGGGCCAACCACACTAACGAGACAATCTACAGGGACATGGCTGTTTTTTCGACCCAGATCGACCTTAGAGATGAGGTGGGTGTTAAGGGGAGCTGTTAGGCGGTGAGGCTGGGAGGCAGGGAAGACTTAGGCAGGAGGAGGAGGACGTAGAGGTGGGGTTGTAGGTTGAGGGTGGCAGGTTGTTATGTCGATTGCTCTCCATGTCATTTTGTGTGTGTATATATACCGTAAACCTGGTAAGTCATACAAAATGCCTTAATTGTTTTGCACACACACACACACACACACACGGTCTTAATGAAACTCTTAATCGTGATACAGCTGGTGCTTCATCTGTGTAATGCCGAGGACAGGCGCCTTCAACTGCAACCTATGGGCGTCAACATCCTGGGCTGCTCCACCTTCCTCCAGGGCAACACTGCTGCCTCCAGGAAGGTCATCCTGCCTTATGTCAAGGACTGGCTGGCTAAACAAAATATCTGACTGTTCGGCCAAAATCTTTCACTGTCTGTCCGGCCGCCACGAACCCCGGCCATCCCGATCCTCTCATTGACTGGCTAACAAGAACCTTCAACTAGTCATCAAGAATCACAGGCTGGCCATAATGAATCTTTAGCTGGCCATTAGAACACGTGGGTGGTCACATGGACTTCTGACTGGCTGGCCACTAATAAGTTAAGACTACCTGACCAGAAATTCCCAAGACTGAGAGAAGATAATGAAGGCTGACGTGATTTTTCCTGTTTATTTCTCTTATTACTAACAAACATTAAGAGAGTTTCATGTTATATTTGGCTTTAAGTTAACATTCCCATGAAAGAGTCTTTTAACTTGATATATTCTCAAGGTTTTAATCGATTCCACTTGTCATATGAAATCAATTAATTTACTGAAGGGTCAAACTGAACCTCTCATTACCAGGATACAAGTGATCACATTTTCTTCACCTCACATCAGTCAAGTGATCACATTTTCTTCACCTCACATCAGTCAACAGAGGTAACAGGTCAATAACACCATGTCCCAAATCTAATCAGATGATGCTTCTCTGTAGTTTAATATACCTTGTCTTGAGATAACTATAAGGTACTGCATTAGTGTGTCTTCCAAGAGAACTGCAACACGTGTAAAGGCTTAACCATATCAGTATTGTTGTTATTCAGGCTAAATCAACTGTTTATATTTCAATTGTTAGTGGTGGAAGCTGTTGCGGGAGAGGGATAACTTGAGAGTGGTGGTGGTTTAATGCATGACCTGACACTGATAGCCAATGACCTAGATTGAGTTCGAACACCCAGAGTTATTTCAGTTATTTATGACAATGTGTGAATTTTTTTTATATTAATTAATCTATATACTATTGAATTATTAAACACACATACCAGAACATTTTTTGATTATCCTAAACTAAAACTTCACGTCATCTGCTGTTACTTCCTGTTGATCTTGTACTGTAGAGTTATACGTCACAGGTCCTCCTCTCTCCTACCCCCCCCCTCCCCGTGAAGGATCTCGATAGGACTAACAAACCCTAGCAGACACAAAACTGGTAAGCCTATAGTAGAGATATTTTAATTGACCAGATAAAGCGATTACAATAAAGCTCTTTCCCCTGTGGTTAAGTGAAAAAAAAACCGCTGCTGTTACTTCGTATATAAAAGCAAATATAGAACACAGGAAATAGAGTGTATGTTGTTAAAAAAAAAATCCTTGCGTGAGCCACTAGCCAGGCGACCTTCCCTCCACCATACAGCAATAGCTTCACACACACACACACACACGTTAACCTAGTTTCACTTGTGGTCACTGTCAACAACTGCCTGTATAATGGCTCCACTGTCCTCCGCTTTACAAAACGTAGGTGACCGAGAGCCATTATCTGATAGCGGTGTAAATATTGAAGTGCAAATCATCCCATTGCACACCATAACGTTGATTCATGGTTAGAAAAACACACACACACACACACACACGTGATTTAGTGGTGATGGTGGTGGCAATGGCAGTCCTCTTACAGGCACAAACACGCACCCAGGGTCTAATCCTCAGTGAACATGGAGAATTGGAGTGGATTTTATTTTTGTCGAATCCTAGAGGCGGGACGTGAGGAAGGGCAGCCCATGATATCATTGTCTCTCTCCACCCACCCCACCCCACCCACCCTCCTCCCCCTCTCTCCTCCCTCCTCCTCCTCCCTCCTCCCACAGTGAATACATTAACGAGTTTATGACCCCAGGTGTGAGAGGTAAGTAGGTCTGGTGTCACATATTTTACACACGAGGCAAGGTAAGGTAGGGTAAGGTAAGGTAAGGTAGGGATAGGTAAGGTAAGGTAGGGTGGGGTGGGTAGAGGTGTGTATCTCTCCCAATGGTCTAGAATATCTGTGAACCAGTTTGATCTTTACAAAACACTCAACTTAAGAAATATTTATCAATTAGGTCTGATGAAAGATGAGAAGGATGTGTCATATAATAAGGTGCAGGAGGAGAGGGGGGGGGGGTGCCGCAGGTGGTGTAGCCGCAAGTTGGCCTCACTATCCTGGCAAGGTCTGTCAGTCAGTCTGTCACCTGCACCGCCCTGGTGGCCTTGTTTACACCTCTATGTATAAATTAAGAGAACAGATGAATCAAATGAACCGCGACGTTATGTAAAGTAGGGTTTCCTATGTACAGTGTGGTGTATAGTGTGGTACGATGGTGTGGTTGTGTGATATAGCAATGTGGGGTGGTGCAGTGTGGCGTGCTGAGAATGATGTGGTTGACAGCTAGGTAACAGTTACACCGCCTGAGCACAACCAACGCCTGCGCACTCCCTCACACCCGCTAGTGACCACCCCTCACACCCGCTAGTGACCACCCCTCACACCCGCTAGTGACCACCCCTCACACCGCTAGTTATCACCCTCCACCCGCTAGTGACCACCACACTCGCTAGTGATTACCCCCACACCGCCAGTGATCACCCCTCACCCGCTAGTGACCACCCCTCACACCCACAGTGACCACCACACCCTAGTGACCACCCTCCACGCTGCTAGTGACCACCCTCACGCTGCTAGTGACCACCCCTCACACCCGCTAGTGACCACCCCTCACACCCGCTAGTGACCATTCCTCACGCTGCTAGTATTGTTCTTTGAAAAACATAAATTGAACTAAATATTAAACCTTACCCAATGGCCTCGGTCCCATTCCATACAAAACTAGTTATTGATGAAGTGTTATGTGACTGAGATGTGTCATGCCACTGATGGTGTCACGCCACAACACACGTGGGCCTGACACTGGCCTGGCCTGACAGACACTGGCGGGTAATTACCATGGATAAAGGAACTGGGCAGCAGGCGGCCAGTAACACAGCGAATCATTATTAATTCATTGTTTCCTCCGCCATCTTCACGCAGCGCTGAACCCCCGGATGGCCGCCACACACACACACACTGCAGAGAATCCGTGTACAGTATTTGTGTTCCCTAGTCTGCCCGGTACCTGTCCAGTCGTCTCTCATTGACCAGCATAAACTCGGCGGCGGCAGAGAACGTTATCCATTCTTAAATTATTATTTGTATATCATATGAGGATGTAGTGAATTATTATTATTATTATTATTATTATTATTATTATTATTATTATTATTAAGAGTTCGTACTATTAGCGTCAGTAATCAATGGCCCAGCACTGCACACCAGGACAGGAAGAGGAAGTCCTTCGTGTCAATTTCTATGTTATGGTGGGGAGGCAGACGAGCCACGCCCTGGTTCCCCATCTGCACCTCGGGGCTCGTCACGACCCACCGCCCACCGCCTCAATGGAAGGGAATCCGTGAATGAGAGCAGAGTTATGAATGGAGGGATGAGTGCGTGAGATGTGTACGGGAAGTAATCAGCTGACCCCACCCTTCATGGCCGACTGCTTTCAACCCTCGCTTGACTAGAAATATTTTTACATTTTAACCTAAATTCATGTGCTTATTATTACTTACTAAAGAAACTCCACCTAAAAAAAAAATTACCAGATGATATAAGTCTAATATGACTTTACAGTATAATTAGTTTTTTTTATGTGATTCAACGGAAGTCGTGTTTCAGATGATCGGACACATGGGTACGATGTTGTGTGAATGAACTCGCGCATCAATGGTGGCGAGGCATCCCTTAATGACTCCCAGCGTATTGTCATGTAGGTCACGATGCCACCTGACTCCCTCTAGTGGACACCACACAAGGATGGTGAAAGGTTGTGTAGCGGCGGTTTGTGGGCGTGGTGGTGATCGGTGTGGGCGTACTAGTGGACGGTGTGGGCGTACTAGTGGACGGTGTGGGCGTGGTAGTGGCTGGTGTGGGCGTACTAGTGGCTGGTGTGGGAGTACTTGTGGACGATGTGGGCGTACTAGTGACTGGTGTGGGCGTACTAGTTGCTGGTGTGGGCGTACTTGTGGTCGGTATGGGCGTACTAGAGGCCGTAGTGGGCGTACTAGTTTTGTGTACGGGTGTGACAATGACCAAGGTCTCGCCTCGTCAAAGAGCCATTTCCTGGTCTTGCGTCCGTCACGCGTACCAGCCCACACACCCACACGCCCACTGCAGCCAACACGCCTCCACGCCCACTGCAACCCACATGCCTACACCTAACTGCAGCCCACACGCCTCCACGCCCACTGCAGCCCACACCCAATGCAGCTCACACACCCACACGCCCACTGCAGTTCACACCCACGCCCACTGCAGCTCACACCCCACACGCCCACTGTAGCTCACGCCCGCCCCACTACACCCTACACGCCCACTGCAGTTCACACACACCGCACAATGCAGCTCCCACACCCACATACCCACAGCAGTTCACACCACACCACCCACTGCAGCTCAAACACCCACACGCCCACTGCAGCTCACACCCACACGCCCTGCAGTTCCACACCCACACGCCCCACAGCAGTTCACACACCACACGCCCTATTTTTCCTATTCTCTTCACTCTTAAGTATTTTATTTATTCTATTATTTTCTGCTATATTGTTTATTCTAAAATACACAACAAAACAGAAATGTAAAAAATTTATATCGTAAAAATAAGAAAAAAATACCAAGCGCATTAAAATAAATTAAATTAAACAGTCACAAACATACACAAAAGACACACACACACACACACACACACACACACTCACACACACACACACACACACACACACACACACACGGAGTCTCAGGAGGCAGTGAGACATTGATCAAAGTGTCGAAGAACAACTTTTTGTGTGTAATTCAGTCAGGTGTAATAATTCTCCACACAAAGGCGAACTAATGTATACAGTCCGGTCATAATACTAACATACAATGGTAACAGGTAGTGAGTGGGCGAGCTGGTGAGTGGTGGGCGAGTGGGCGGCGAGCATGCTGACACTCTAATATTTAAAGTCACTGATGAAGATAAAGGCAAAGTGAACCATTTATATACATACAGAGTTAATAAACACTTGTGGGAAATCAATGAACAACTCACTATGTTCTTATAGTAAAGATTAAAAGGACTTATTGAATAGGTTGAAAGAGTTATGGCAAAGATTTGAAAGAAATATTGCAGGTATTATAGTGACAGAGTAGATGTTGAGAATGAAGTTGAAAATAATAATAATAATAATAATAGGAGTTATTGAAATTATTAAAAGGCATTTATAACTTCCTGAAATGTGGATAAAATACATTACTGTTTAATCAATGTTGTCGGACAAGTTCTCTTTAAAGGAGGGGTGTGTTGATGAACAAAATAGTTATTATGTAGATTCAATGGACAGAATTGGTTTATAATAGAAGTTAATAGTGTATTGACTGGTGAGGTGACACAAAACTTATTTATAAATTCTTCAAAAGCTGATATGTATATAACTTTTAGTAATAAACCATGAACTGAAATTCTTGGGGGCGAAATGAATGACGAAAGAGAGCAATATTTAGATTATATCGACGAACTAAATGCATATCAAACCTGTAATGTAACTTGTTGTTTAAAAAAAGTTTCGTTCCGTTCACTATGACTATCAAGGTAGTGTTAACAGTGAGGGCTACAACAGAGTATAGCATTAGCAAACGCAGGGGTCGAAGAAGGGTTAAACACTATAGGAAGAAACATGGGGTGGTTTTGTAAGTGAGTCAGAAGGTGGAAGAACAATAGCGCTGTATGGTGGCAATTGAGAGAGAGAGAGAGAGAGAGAGAGAGAGAGAGAGACTTTTTCTTCATCAGTTCATACACACAATCCCTGGTCATCAAAGTTATAAAAAGACTTAGCGTGAGGGGAGGGAAGTCTTGTCGTACACACACACACACACACACACACACACACACACACACACACACACACACACACACACACACACACACTAATTCCCCTGAGACTCCACGATGGGAAGGCCTGGGACCATACCTCACTCACTTGAGTGAGGTATGGTCCTGTGACAACAGACCACGTGGTGTCCCCATGATGCTACGACACCACGTAGTGAATGAGTTGCTACAGCATCATGTGAAGTTCCTCATAACACCATCTGTGAGGGAATTACTACACCACGTGATGCCCCTCATACACCATCTGTGAGGGAATTATTACATCATCAGGCCCCTCATACACCATCTGTGAGGGAATTACTACACCATCAAGCCCCTCATAACACCACCTGTGAGGGAGTTACTACACTACGTGTCTGCTGTTCAACACCTCAGCTCACATGATCTACGTGACCTCCGCTGTAAACATTGATCTGTATGTTCACTGTATGTTCCGTACTCAGTATAGGAGATGTAAACAGGGAAACCAGCTACCAGATGAACAACGATGCCAGTGTGGAATCCGACTGCGAGAGAGATTTAGGAGTAATGATAAGTAGGAATCTTAAGCCAAGTAAACAATGTGTTTTTGCTCGTAACGAGGCCAATAAAGTACTTGGGTTCATACAAAGGAGTGTCAGTTACAAGACTAGCGAGGTCATCTTAAAATTATATCTAGCGCTTGTGAGACCTCACCTGGATTACGCAGTTCAGTTCTGATCACCGTATTACAGAATGGATATAGAATCCTTGGAAAGAATACAGAGGAGAATGACAAGGCTAATCCCGGGCTTCAGGAACCTTGAGTACAGAGACAGGTTAAAGCATCTTAATTTGCACTCCCTCGAGAGACGTAGAGTGAGGGGCGACATGATAGAGGTGTATAAATGGAAGTCAGGGTTAAACAAAGGGGACATTACAAAGGTACTCAAACTATCCAACCAGGAGCGAACTCGTAATAATGGTTTTAAATTAGACAAATTTAGATTTCGGCGTGAAATAGGTAAACACTGGTTTGGAAACAGAGTAGTGGATGAATGGAACAAGTTACCAAATATCATCATTAACTCGAATACGCTGGATAGCTTCAAACATAGGTTGGATGCTTATATGAGCAATAGGGGTTGGGTATAAACGGAACTGCCCAGTATGGGCCAATGGGCCCGCTGCAGTTTCCTCCATTCTTAGGTTCTTATGTTCTTCACCTTTCTCTAATGAAGGCTTTTGTTAAACCACCAATGTATGTAATAAGTCATTTATGTCCAATGTATATTTTCAGCCTTCGGCCTGCAGAACTTTTTCAATAAACCGTTTATTATTATTATTATTATTTTTATTATTACACACACGAACTCTTAGATCACATCGTGTATATTTTCAACTGAGAAACGACAGCAAATTATTCATGTTATGTTATTTTCGAACAAGTCAAAAGACATTTATGGATTGTTAGAATAAGTACATGTTCACTGTAACATGTTCACTGTAACATGTTCACTGTAACATGTTCACTGTAACATGTTCACTGTAACAAGTTCACTGTAACATGTTCACTGTAACAGGCTCAATTAATATTTTCTATATAATTTGTTCACTTTAACAGGTTCACTATAACATGTTCACTATAGCATGTTCACTGTAGCATGTTCACTATAACTTTATGTTCACTCTAACAGGTTCACCATAAATTTATGTTCACTATAACAGATTCACTATAACAGGTTCATTTAATATTTTCACTATAACAGGTTCACTTTAACGTGTTCACTATAATATGTTCACTATAACAGGTTCACTGTAACGTCACACTATAACATGTTCACTATAACAGGTTCACTGTAACATGTTCACTAAAACAGGTTCACTATAACAGGTTCACTATAACAGGTTCACTGTAACATGTTCACTATAGCAGGTTCAGCTTAACATGTTCACTATAACAGGTTTACTTTAACATGTTCACTATAACATGTTCACTATAGCAGGTTCAGCTTAACATGTTCACTATAACAGGTTTACTTTAACATGTTCGCTATAACAGGTTCACTATAGCAGGTTCATTATAACTACATGTTCGCTCTAACTAACTACATTTTCACTATATTGTAATAGGTTCACTATAAATTCATATTCACTGTAACTCGCAACATGTTCACTATAACAGGTTCACTGTAACTCGCTACATGTTCACTATAACAGGTTCAGTATTACAGCCTCTTACTACATTATTTTCTGACACCTCAAATCTGAGTCTTGTGGTCTGGTCCTACGCTGTTATTGGTATAATCAAATATGACCCCAAGTTTCAAAAGCAACTCAGGTGAACGACAGGATCGTCGGACAGTTACCAAGGTCGACCAGAAGAGTCGCCCTGTAGCTCCATGGGTGTCCCGTATGAGGGAACAATGGGTCTCGGAGACGGTCTCGGAGACGGTCTCAGAGACGGTTAAGGCAGCTAACTGCCTCTTTGGTGCAGTGGTTGGCCCAGGAGGCTCCACCGTGAAGGACCTTCAAGACACACATAAAGTCCGGGTGCGTATCCCTCGCAAGGGGTCAAAGGATGAGCCCATCGTCGTCGAAGGAAAAAATAAGACTAAAGTCAAGGAAGCCGTCCTCCACATACGGTCTTTGATTGACCAAGAGGAGCGGCGTCAGGTCAACAACACCCCTGTAACACAAATTCTCTGCATCCCTAAGGCCCTACACGGCAAGATAATTGGTCATCAGGGCCAAAATATTCGGTACTTTACCCAAACTTACAATATTAAAATAAGAGTCCCTAAAAAAACTGAGAAAAGTAATCAAATAACCATCACAGGCCTGGCTGACCGGGTGGAGGAGGGGGTACGTAGCCTCCTTAGCCTGGTGAACAGCTTCCCCCAATGATTACCCCCCCACACACCCACCTTCACCACACACCCACCTTCACCACACACCCACCTTCACCACACCTATAAAAAAAAAAAAAAAAAAAAAAAGGACCCTCTCACCACTGGCCTCCACGCGGCAGGGTCTGGAAACTCAGGGATTTATCTCTGGGGCTAACAGTGGTTTATTATTATTATTATTATTATTATTATTATTATTATTATTATTATTATTATTATTATTATTATTATTAGAGAGAGAGAGAGAGAGAGAGAGAGAGGAGAGAGAGGTCATAACCATATAATTTTAACAGGTGAGGTGTAGACACAGACAATTGAAACGTTGATATGGGGGGAGAAAAACTTTACTAAATACAAGGACAAGGAGGGTGTAGCAGGTGTAGTTGTGTGTGGTGGGTGTGAAGGTGTGTGTGGTGGGTGAAGGTGTGTGGTGGTGAAGGTGTGTGGTGGGTGTAGTTGTGTGTGTGTGTGGGGTGCAGTTGTGTGTGTGTGTAGTTGTGTGTGTGTGTGGGTGTAGTTGTGTGTGTGTGTGTAGGGTGTGTGTGTGGTGGGTGTAGTTGTGTGTGGTGGGTGTAGTTGTGTGGTGGTGTGTAGTTGTGTGTGGTGTGTAGTTGTGTGTGTGGTGTGTAGTTGTGTGTGTGGTGGGTGTAGTTGTGTGTGTGGGTGTGTAGTTGTGTGTGTTGTGTGTGTGTGAAGTGTGTGTGGTGGGTGTAGGTGTGTGTGTGGTGGGTGTAGTTGTGTGTGTGGTGGGTGTAGTTGTGTGTGTGGTGGGTGTAGGTGTGTGTGTGGTGGGTGTAGGTGTGTGTGGTGGGTGAGGTGTGTGTGGTGGGTGAGGTTTTGTAATCACCAAGTATACAAACAGCATTATGATGGGCTGTGTACAGTTAACATCACCTGATACTGTTCTCTTCTCAGACTTGGTTACCACATAGGGACTAATATATCTTATAGCCAATAAATATATCCCTAATACGATATATTCTAACGGTAGCCTAATATAGCCTACCAAATGCTGAGTCAATATGGTCCGTCTAATGAAGTTTTTAGTGAAAAGTTGTATATATTTTGATACTCAGTGTGTGTGTGTGTGTGTGTGTGTGTGTGTGTGTGTGTGTGTGTGTGGTACGTAGAGCGTGGTTACAGAGGTACAGTCACGCTACACTTGACGGTGGGGCTTCCTGCCTTCACTCTGTACCACACACACACACACACACACACACACAGACATTGAGACAAGACGCTAATTACCAAGAGGGGAGGAAGAGGGGGGGGAGAGAGGGAAGGATGAAGCGGAGGTTTCCTCCTCCCCACCCAAGTCTGGGATGACGTAATCCTGGTAGCTCGTTTTTCTAGAGAAAGAGAGAGAGAGAGAGAGAGAGAGAGAGATGAGGGGTGGGATGGGCAAGGTGAAGGGGGAAAGGGGGATTTGGGTGATTTGTGAGGATTTAGGAGAGACGGGCGAGGGGAGGTAAAGGGAGAACATAAGAACATAAGAAAATAAGAAGTCTGCAATAGGCCGGTTGGCCTGTGCATGGCAGCTCCTGTCGAGAGTTACTACCACTCTCTATCATCCATGAATCTATCCAGCCCCCTTTTGAAACTTTCCAGAGTTCCCGCACTTACTACAAAGTTGCTAAGCTTGTTCCACTCGTCCACCACCCTATTTGTGAACCAGGTGATGGTCAATAGTGGTCTAAGATGTAGGTTTTTAGTCCCAGAGTGATATAAAAATAACATTTAATTTCCTCAACCTAACCTAACCTAACCTAACCTAACCTAACCTAACCTAACCTCCCTTTAGCGTCACAACGTTTAATTAATCAGGTGAAATAAGTTGGGGTGCCTAATCTACATGTGATCCTATTAATCGTTCTTAAAGGGTTAAGACATCGTACCTAAGAGGCTAAGACATAATACTCAAGGGGTTAAGACATCGTATTTAAGGGTAAAGGTAGTATTATTTATTACCTATTCACCCACCCACTTCCTACCCACCCACCCAACAGCATCTACTGGGAGGGTGGGTGGATAAGGAGGGGTGGATAGGAGAGGTGGGCGTGTGGTGTGGTGGACAGGGCGTGACGCTGACATAGACGGTAGGTGGATAGACACACGTGCTAGGGTTGTGGACAGGCACCTCGCCACTTCCCGCCACTGTGATGTGGTGTGACGGCTCCACTGTCTCTCTTTCCGGGGCACGTGTATGAGTGTATGATGGTCGTTTGTGAGTGTATGATGGTCGTGTGTGAGTGTATGATGGTCGTGTGTGAGTGTATGATGGTCGTGTGTGAGTGTATGATGGTCGTGTGTGAGTGTATGATGGTCGTGTGTGAGTGTATGATGATCGAATGTGAGTGTATGAGTGAAAGATGATCGTGTATGAGTGTATGAGAGCATATTCTTCATGTACATTTTCCATGTATGAAAACATTAACCAGGGGGTTCAGAGCCTAAGAGGGTCATAAATCATCCTACGTCATAAGTCATCATAGGTCATAGGTCAAAGATGTCGTCAAAATGGCACTAAGACTCTACTGGAACTTCGATGGAATGGAACTGGTGCGTTTAAGAACTCCTTAGCTAGGTAGCCACTGTCCAACTCATTAACTCACTCACTCGTCAGCCGTGTATTTTCGTGTTTGTATGCGTGTGTATGATGGTGGTGATGTATGACGGCCGTACACAGGATAGGGAGGGGATTGTAAGGGGTGAGGAGGGATGGAGCAGGGGAGGGAGGGTGACTAGGAGAAACACCAGACACGTGTGTTGAAAGCTTCTGTCTGCAAGGGGTGGGGGGGGAAGGAGAGGGGCTGAGGGGATGGAGGAGGGAGGAAGTGGATGAGGTAAGGAGAGGATAGCCATGTAGAGAGGGGTGGGGCAGATAGCTACTTCCACGTGGCCGGGGACACTGACTATCGGGACTGGCAGGGTAAAGGGAGGAGGGCAAGGCAGTAGAGAAGATAAGGATGAGGGGAGGGTGGGGGGGGATCGTAAAGTTAACTCACTCGTCGCTAACAACCAATAATAGCGGCACTCGTTATAACTTATGAATGCCGTTCACTTACATACAGTGAATTAGCCCGCGTGGGATCAATACTCACAACACAATAAATTCGTTTTACGGTGATTCGGGGACCAATTGCTGCCATTGGTGTTTATTGTGAGGCAAATCTGTGGCGGTAGTTGGTGTGCTGACCATCGTTTTTACGCACACCAGTTTGTTGATGTTGGTCCTATAGACGTTCACCTGCTCCCACCTGCTCTCACCTGACGGGACCCGAAACTCACCAAACGGGACCTGAAAATTGTCATCTGAACCTTAACCTACCTAACGGGACCTGAACCCCACCTAACGGGACTCTAAACCCACCTAACGGGACCTGAACCCCACCTAATGGGACCTGAACCTCACCTAAAGGGAACAGAAAATTTTATAAACTTCCCCAAAATGCAAAATTCTGTACCCATTTACAGCTGGGTAAACTGATAAGGACAGGAAACTAGCGAGACCCATCTAATAGGAGATAATACTCGTCTGATGACCTGAAAACTATCTCCCACCTTAAGCTAGGAGTCATTTTATAGTACCGGGATCTATCATAGCGGACCAAAGCTTCCTTCCCAAGAACTGAAATACCTACAAAATTACCTGAAAAAAAAAAAACTTCGCTTATTTTTTATCCTATAAGTGAACAGACCTTGGAATCTATGCATTAATGTTCTTTAACTAAATGACGAGGATTAAAAACTTATAAATGTCATTAAATCTTACTAATACACCCAGCAACTTTCTCGAGGTAAGAGAAACTACAAATTACCCAAGTGTATTTTGAAACTTCTTATACCAAAGTTTTAGGTACTTTTAGGATTATCTAATTTGGGCTTATTACAACGCTGGGTGCCAATCAGATAACGAATCAATTCTCTCTTATTATCTGAATCAAACTCAAACTTCTCAAACTATGACGTGAATTTTTTTTTCGTTTCGCAAAGTTTTTCTTCTCACGGATCAAGTTGGTTGATTGGAGCGATACAGTCTCTCACTTAACCTTCGGATAATTTCCTCTAGATTACTTGTGTCTCCTCAAACAGGCCCTGCAGTATCACCCACCATCATCACCGCTATAACAAGGGTGCTTAACTTTCTCTAGTTGAATCATGGCTAAATCTAACCTAACCTAACCTAAACTAGTGCTGTGGCGACTCCTGGAACCCATAAATGACTCCCGTAAACCTTCTAACGAATCCCCGGGACCCCAACTGACCCCACTACCCCTCTCTGGCGAATCCGAAGGGTCCCCATCTGACCCCCCCCCTTCCTCCCCCCACCCAGTGTCCGTCACCCGCACCGGAAGTGACCGGAAGTCCGTTGACGAGTCGCGGCTGTGATGCAATGTCACGCAGGTGATTCAGGGCTGCTGGGTGGGTGGGTGGATGGAAGGGTAGGATGGTGGTTGGTTAGATGGGTGAATTGATGCCTAGATGGATGAGTTGGTGGGTGGAGGGACATGTAGATGGATGAATATGTTGGTGGGTGAATGGATGGATGGGTGGGTGGATGAATGGATGGATGGATGGATGAGTGGATGGATGGATGGTTGGATGGTTCCTCTCATCTGGGTCATGTTCTATTTTCCTTTGCTAAACAGAGAACCATTATTACTCTCCATCATCATCATCATCTCTCTCCCCCTCCTCCCTCTTCCCCTCTTCACCCCTCACCCTACATCCTCTATCCTCCTCCTCCTCCTCTCCTTCCTCTTCCTCCCCCTTCACCAGCTCACCTGCACGGCACCTGCCACCCCACCCCACCCACCTCCCCCTACAGGTAAGCTGGCCAGGGTCGGGGCTGACCAGGTGCGCCTCGCTACAATCGATGTCACTGATTGTGTGGTCTGACTGTGTCCTGATTACCCCTGATTCACCCCCACCCGCAGCTGATGGCCAACGGATTCTGCCCCTTCCCCTCTTCCTCCCCCAACAGCCCCCCTCCCCCTT